TCTTACCAATCAGTGTTATATTCTCTAATGAGTTATTCCTTATCATAATATGACCAAAGTCTTGGTTTTGTCATCTTGGCTTCAAGGCAGAGTTCAGGTTTGATTTTCTCTAGAACCCATTTATTTGTCTGTTTATTCATCCATAGCATTGTCAGAACTCTTTTCAAGCACAACATCTCAAATTAATTGATTTTCTATCAATTTTCTTCGCTGTCCAACTTTTACAATTATACATAGAATTTGGAACTAGGATAGATAATCCTAATTTTTGTATTCTATGATATATCTTGACATCAAAATGTTGTCTAGTTCCTTCAAGGCTACCCTTCAAAGTACTATTCTTTTGCTAATTTCTGATCTGCAGTCTCTGTTCTCATTAATGACTGAACCATGGTATGGAAAAATCTTGAACTGTTTCATTGTCTTCATCATCTAAAGTTAGGTAAATCATATGTGGTCATTATTTTTGGATTATTAATGTCCAACTGTAAGTCTGCTTTTGCGCTTCCTTGTTTGATTGCAAGATCATCTTGCCTATTATACTTGATACTTCTCTACAACATTTTAGGATAGATCAGACAAGTGGGAAATAACTTCATGAGAGTAGAAATAAGCGGCATATAACTAACAGTTAAGAGATGGGATTATATGAGATTAACAATTGTGTGAATAGTAAGAAGTAAATTGACGGTATATAGGGAATGGAGTACTTGTGGCTTCAGCACGGAACACTTAGTTAATGACTTCCTGTCTTCCACACTAAATTTCCAGTCCAGATCGGCCTTTCATAGTTAGGATTTGCTTTTTAAAATGTACTTACACAAATGCTTTTTCCATGAATGATGTCACATATATTAGTCACTGAAAGCTTAACAGGGGTTGAATTGCAGTGACCTTGCTAAATTCCCTTAATAGACAGCATCTTGACATTTGTTCGACTTCTCCATTAGAGTCATAAATTGCTGTATTAAAGCCTTTTGCTAATTTTCTTCACCTCCTCCGCACCCCCATTTTGAGCTCTTAGTATTGCATATTTTTTTTCTTTAGTTAATTATTAGTTTCAATTTGCCTTAACTTGTCTGAGTTTATTCACTAGTCCATGAGGTTTATTGACACATGCTCCTGAGCACTGTTAGTCACTAAGCCTATGCAGATGACCAGATCAAACCAATCTCTTCCAGGGTGAATGGAGTAACTATAGATCAAACCAGTTTATTCCAGAATGTTCATTCATCAGATAACCCTTGGTCAGCTGTTTCATTTCATGTACCAAATTTACATGAAGAGGGATTTACATGCATTAGTATTAGATGTATAGTCGACTGCATGGGAAAATGGTAGTTGCCATGAACATTCTATCTATTCTGCTCTCAAGGTGAACTCTACTAGCTTTGAGCTATGCAGCTTTCATTTCTTCTGACAGTGCACCTTTCCTGATAGCATACATCATAACCACAATTCTACTTGATTAATCACTTTAAGTTCATCACATTTCAGAAAAGCAAATAAGAGAATTAGCACAGGCCAACTGGTTTGTTTCATCTCCCTTGGAAAAATTTGGATGCGCTAGTATACATAGCAGTTTGCTGTGAATTTGGTGAAACTAATGGATTTGAAAATCTATATGTTTACATTTTAGAGGACCTGAGGAACAGCAATAATACTATATTTATTTCCTGTGTGAAGACAGATTTAATCACTTGAGCATCTAGTTCAGTTTTGCTAAATTCTGTGATTGTCTCTTTCCCTTTGCCCTGCTGAAGGGACATGAGAGACTTTTCTTTGTTTTTCCTCCTGTCATTGCATTCTCTTCCCATCTCTCTGTAATAAATAATGTTGATTTTTATATAAATAATGGCTTTGAATTAGTACAATGATAGATTAAATCTGTTTTGGCTAAGACCTGACTACATTAAGCTCTTCAAAACAATGCAAAGGATTCCTAGAAATTGGCCTAAATTTTATGAGTAATAGTAATTGATTGCAGTACTTCCTTCATTGCATTTCATAGGAGAGACTGACTCATAATATTTGGTGATTCAATTCTATTTCTTGTATGCATGTCAGGCTACTTAAGATCATAACAGTCCGACAGGATCTGATGAATACTAGACCATCTGGTCTTGTATTCCATTTCTGAGAAATCCACAAATAGGTCTTGTTTTATAAGAGAAGATGCAGCAACTTGCCCATTGCAAAACACATCTTGAATGATAGTTTTGGTCACACTGAACTTCTTATAGTTGACTCAAGATTTGATAGAAACCCAATGTTTCCACTTTGAGGAAATCAAGGCTAGTGAGATTTGGTAGTAGTTATGTTATTGTGTTTCTTGTACTGATTCAGGTCATGTATGTCACCTGTAGGATAAACAAGTACACAGTTAATATTTCTACTTCTGGCTAATGCATGTTATTCTTACAAATTTCCCTTTTATATTCTCAATGCAGTGCGTACTATTTGCACAAACAGGCACTAATCTACATTGCTGTATTTGTAAAGAATTGCAGTGAATACTGTCTATGCACCCCAAATTGTTGCTGTATTTGTCAAAAATGGGGAAGAGAGAACATTCGGTTTTTGATAACATTATTGTTATGTGTGATATGATTTTGGGGTGTCTTAAGTCCTGAATGTGAAAGACCATATGGATCCATGTCTTCACAGTCATTTATGGACCTCCCCCCCTCCCCGCAAGACTCTACCCCTGATGACAATCATACGCAGCCACGAGTTATCGCCCATGGCAACATATAGAGTATTACCAAAAGCAGTGCAAAGTATAGTGCATGTATAGTTTAATAGGCTTGCTTATTACACAAGTTTGTTCAATGTGGTTTCATTTATACATTAACAGCTTTGACAACAATAGAATCAATAACCATACCTAAAGAATTGTTCTTTCTAGACCTCCAGTTAACAACATTGTTCCTAACTGCTCTAAAAATTAAAAAAAAAATCCAGTAATTAATAAATACTCAAAGGTAAGGTAGTTCACAATGTTTGAGAGTTTCTAAGAAGGCAGGATATTGAATTGCAAATAATTTCAATGAGAAAGAAAAAGGGTGGAGGAGTTATTTAAAGAAACCAAGGTAGATATATAGCGAGCTTTCAGGTGAGCTGAGATTTAAAAGGAAAATGTGAAAGAAATGGGGAAATTGCTAAAGAGGAATATAAATGAATAGACAGTACCTGTAGAGAGGAAGGTAAAAACTTAAGCTCAGAATTTGTTCAGGTTTGCTTGAGTGTTTAAAATAATTTAAAGTGAGATTTTCTTTTTAAAATTATTATGGTGTTTCAACTAAGAGGAAAAACAATGAAACAGTAGGATCTCTGCATGGAAAAGGAGGTGAAACAGTAAAGAGGGAAGGCAGAACGACTCAACACTTGCTTTGACTCTTGTCTTCTCTCAGAAGAAAAATAGCATTCAACCAAGTACAAACAGAACAATGATATCGTAAAGAAATTATAGCCTATATAGGAAAAAGGATAGTATTGTAAAGCTTAGCTACTCTTAAATGAGCTTAGGTCTCCAAGCTCATTTAAGGAGTACTAAAGGAACTAGAAAATGTAATCTCAGAATTTATGTCCATAATATTTGAGAATTCTTGGGAAATAGAACAGGAGACTGGAGGAGGGTGAATGTTCTCTGCATCTTCAAAAAGACACAAAAGAGCCAAGCAAGAACCAACCAATAAGCTTGATAAACTTAGAATCATAGAATTGGAAGAGACTGTATGGGCCATCTAGTCCAACACCCTGCCATGCAGGAAAAGCACATTCAAGGTACCCTTGACAGATGGCTACCCAGCCTCTGTTTAAAAGCCTCCAAGGAAGAAGTTTCCACTAGACGCTGAGGCAGAGAATTCCACTGCTGGACAGCACTAATAGTCAGGAAGTTTTTCCAATGTTCAAGTGGAATCTCCTTTCCTGTAGTTTGAAGCCATTGTTCTATGTCCTAGTGTCCAGAGCAGCGGAAAACAAGGCTACTCCTTCCTCCTTATGACATCCTTTCACATATTTATACATTGGCTATCATGTCTCCTCTCACCCTTATCTTCTGCGGGCTGAACATATCCAGCTTTTAAAGATGCCCTTCACAGAGTATGGTCTCCAGATTTTTGATCATTTTAGTCGCCCTCCTCTGCAATTAACATTGAGATGTGATGGCTCAAAAAAGCCAAAGTAATTGTAGGCCACACGAATAGAAGTATAGTGTCTCAATAAAATAAATTTATAATGCCACTGTATTCTGCTTTGGTCAGACCTCACCTGCAATTCTGTGTCCAGTTCTGGGTAGCACAGTTCAAATATAATTGCACTGGCTGCCAGTACATTTCTGATATGAATGCAAAGTGTTTGTGATGACAATTACAATTTTAAGTGGCTTGGGATCTTGACACTTGAAGGAATCCCTTTTCATGATGGTGCCTTCCTAAGGATTAAGATATGTTAAAGGTGTGCTTTCTTCATGTCCTACCAGTGAGATCAATATGTTGCGTTGGGAGATAGGAGAGGGTTTCTCAGTCCTGGCACTCCAATTGTGGAATGGTCTCTCTTTAGAGAACTGGATAGCAACAGGTTGGACTAGATGGCCTTTTTAGTCCCTTCCAACTGTGTGATACTAAGAAATTGGGCTCTTCTAGGTTGTGCTGCTGCATCATAAATTTTGTGTTTGTACAATGAAGACAAATCTTGTTTGGTCAAAGCACAATGAAGAAATCAAAACAGAATATTGGCAGAGATATATCACGTTACATATGTCATGCTATTAAGAGATTTCTGGGTTGCAGCTATCTCATTCATAAATTCTTATAAAAATGCGCTACCAGTTTTGAAAATGGGCTATTATTTGTGGTTTCTGTTTCCACACTCCTCCTATATGAATGTGCCAAAGTATTTTGATGCAACTAAATGCAATGTTCTATTTAATTTCTAGAACACATTTTTCATTCATACCCACTGAAGAGCACTCTGCTTTTCTTTCTTTCATGCTTTAGGAAACAGGATAGTAACTGATGAGTCAACTCAAGAAATCATGAAACCGTGATACTTAGAATGACTGACTGCTTGGTAAGTTTATAGTGTCTGCTAACGCTCCATGTATAAGAAAAGCAAAGTACCATTTAGATCAAAATTTTGTAAAGCGAAAAAACATTTAGAGGGTTCTGAACAGAAAAGTGTCTTGTCTGTTCTCCAGAGGTTTAAAATTTGTTTTCTTTTAAACTGTAGCTCCAATAATCTCTCGGTCATTGAGTTATTCTTGAAGCTGGAGTTTAAAAAAAGTAAAATTACCATGCTCTGCTGCTCACATTGTCTATGCATTCTTAAATGAGATCTTGCTATTTATCCATCCATCTACTCTGACAACCACCTTTATAATGAGGAATGGTGAGAAGAGTGCTATTTTTGACTTTGGTATAGAGGAAAGGTAAAAATAAAACCATTGATCATCTTTGTGGCACAAAATATAGTAAGGGCATGGTGCCAATAAACTACGCACATTGGATGACTAATAGAGCTCCCACACTATCAGCGTTGGCGGGGATTGCTGCCAGGTAGGGTGCCATAGGTACTTACAAAATGCTTTTAGTCCATTAATGTCTTGGCTTTTGGAGAAAAAATATAGAGGGCGGTGGTTTCATTCATGCTTGAAAAAGTACATTGATGATGAAAAAACTTTAACCAATAGCCTTGAATTTAGTTTGAATTGATTATATCTGAAGTCACAGAGCTAATTTGACTTACTCCTTGTGTGTTTAAATGAGTATTTTATTTCTTTTTAATTTAATTACTATTTTTGGAGGTTTTTAAGGAGAGACGTGTTAGAGAATATAAAAAAGAAAAGGTAGAGTTGAGGCAGGGAGAAGGAATACAGCAGTATCTTGGAGAATAACTAGTTTATTGTAGGTCAAGGTAGGTAAAGGTTTTCCCCCGACATTAGGTCCAGTCATGTCCGACTCTGGGGGTTGGTGCTCATATCCATCTCTAAGCTGAAGCGCCGGCGTTGTCCATAGACACCCCCAAGGTCATGACTGCATGGAACGCTGTTACCTTCCCGCCAGAGCAGTACCTATTGATCTACTCACATTTGCATGTTTTCAAACTGCCAGGATGGCAGAAGCTGGGGCTAACAGCGGGAGCTCACCATGCTCGGATTCGAACCTGTGACCTTTCAGTCAGCAAGTTCAGCAGCTCGGCCCTTTAACACACTGTGCCACCGGGGGCTCCTTAGTTTATTCTAGGATGAGTTAAATGGATTTTAACTCATGCTAAAATGCAGTGCATCTGAAGAAATGGACTGAAATCCACAAAAAACTCAGGCTAAAGAAACCATTTATTTGCAAAGGTACTGCTGGATTTTTCTTCCTTACCTCACTTGTCTTTTTTCATATTGTTTAAGAAAAATCACCCAAGATGCTCAGTCTATGTTCAGGTTTTTTCCCCCATCAATAACATATAGGTATTGACTAAATAATAACTAATAATAATAACTAATGTTATTGACTAAAGTTTTTTTAATAATACTTCTCTCTGATAAGCCTATAGTACTATTTGTAGAAAACATGGCAGTACAAACGTTCTTGTTTATATCAGCAAGGAGCTTATTGTGTTCTGACGTAACAGAGGTATTTTGTTGTGCCAAATGTGTAATAAGTGCTTTGCATGGATGGTCTTTTTCCAGAAAAAGGTTTAAATTGAAAATCCTGATTTTCCAGAGCCATATTTTTTCATTTTGAAATGGATTTCACAGATAGGCATTTGTATTGTGTTTTGGAAGAATTTTGCCTAACTGTAGATTGTTTTTGTGTTGTATGTTGCTGCCATAGAGCTTAATTAGATCCATTTTCCTGCTCCAATTCATTCAGTTTTAAAACCAAAAAGCCAATCTCCCATATATGTTTTAAACCACAACATCTTACCTTTACAATCAGTACCTTAGGCTCCGAACATTTATGTGTGAAAAGCAAACTGAAACAATAGATGGCGCATGGAATGGCAATGTTTATGTATATTTAACTAATGTTGATAGTTAATGTATATGTGTGTGTCACATATATAAATAGGCATACAGACACTTTTGATCAACTTTTAAGGTACTTAACACTGAAAAATAAACAGATCATAGACATTCATATGAATGGAGCTTTGTGAGTATTGCCAAAAAAAGAGCGAAATTTTCAGACTCTAGTAGGTAGGGACCTAGCTGTGCCAAGAGCAGCAGGGGACCCGGGTTGAGCATCCCATATCCAGAATTCTGCAGTCTAAAATACTTCAAAATCCAAAATTGTCCACATGATTGTCTGAGAAAGTGACACCATTGCTTTCTGGTGGTGCAGTGTATATAAATTTGTTTCCCATGCAAAATAAATTATGTAAAATTTTGCATAAACTTCTCTTCAGTATAGAAGATGTATATGAAACATAAATTAATTTCATGTTTAGGCCATTTCCAAACTATCTCATTATGCACATATATACAAATATAGGTATTCCAAAATCCAAAAACTTGTAGTTCCATCATTTCAGATATGGGATACTTGTATGCAAAAATTATGTAGATGCATTTTGTGTACAATTAGTATTTTGTAAGAGGACAGAAATTAAAGGATTCCTCTATTTCAAGGCCTTTGAAACGGATAGTGATCACAACAAGGACAGTCATGGCCAGGAAAACTTTATCATGTTGAAGCTGGTGCATCCCATTTTGGTTTACTTTTAATGGGCATACGTCAGTAGTGAACAAGGCCAAAGCATTCATGTACATATATATTTATACCCATCTACAAACAAATACGGATTTATACATCCTTTGCACACATTCACTCACAAGCCTTCACATACCTGTTCCCACTTGAAATGTATAGAGTTCAACACTATCACCAGCTGTTAGGCTTGGCGGTGGGGGGGGGGGGGGGGGGGAGAAAGCATGACATTTATACTTTCAAGGAGTCTGATTGTCATGTGTGTAGGAGTAAAAGCTTTAACCCCTCAACACAGAAGGAGAAGATGTTAATGGGATACCAACAAACCCTTTCTGGCAGGAAGGGGAACTTCTTCTTCTCTTTTCTTTTAAATATGCCACCTTCTGCCGCCGATAAACCTATTTGTATACGTATGCACCAGACAATAATGCTGATAAAGGGGAGAGAGAAGAATAAACCTCATAGCAACTCAGCAACTTGTGGTTCACGTCCTAAAATACGCTATCTCTGTCTCTGTGTCACCTTTCTTATATATGTTTGTTACAGGATCTAATTTTAAATGTCTGTAAATATCTCTTTGATGTGTAATCCATGTGTATGTAGCTTTCAACTTCTCCTCACAGGTTACATCAATGTAATCTCCAGCTGACTTTCAGAAATGTAACTTCAGTCCTGTAACTTGACATAAGACTCTAATATATTAGTTAAAACAAAGAAATGTTTATGAATTCTTGTGCACATAAAGTGTATTTGTTACACAGTACTTCAGTTCCACCTGGGTATGGTTACATCTGTCTTTTACTCTTGAGAATACATAAAACTGATATTATATAATTTTCAGAACAGTTTAACTTATGCCAACTTGGTTAGGTAACTTATTTCCCTTTTAAATGTAATTCCTCCTCAGCCTCCTGTCTGGATAAATTATATCTTATAGTCACTTTATTTCATCAATAGTCTGACTGTAAACTTAGTCTCAAAAGATTCTGTTTCTCAGTTCCACCTGACTGAGGACTTAGACTCAGAATACTCTCTTATTACTTCAGTACCATAACTGGAGGCACAATCTTATACAAGGATCTTTGTCTCTCTAGCTCCCAGACTAGAGAATGACTCAAAGTGGTCCATTTATTACTTCAGTATCACAACTGAAGACTCAAACTTAAACTAGGAACCTCTACACTCTAGCTTCATGTACTTTGTTTTAAACCACATATTTTTAAAATGTTCCTTCTTTTCTTCTCAGCTAGCTCTGCCCCTTTTTCTTGCTAGCCACTCTATAATGGATACATTTCTACTGCAGAGGCTATGCAAGCATGGTGACGCATCGACCAATCATATGTAGCCAATTCCTGCCTGCCCTTGCCATAATATCAATATTAATAAGCATAGACAAAACTTCCATTATAATTAGTTTTTCTGTTACACCCCCTACCAATTGTAGACTTCATAAAACACCCACCTGCCTCATGTAAGATGTCAAAAAAGTTTTTTTAAAAGACCCCTCTTTGTGCCTATCCCATTCCCCTCCACCTGCTACTTCGCTGTTTCCTTTGTATCACTTGAGAAGTTAGGGGAGCATTTGCAGGAATGGAGGTTGCAAAACCTCTTTCCATTACAGAGCTGATCAGACAACAGATGACCAGAGGAGAAAAAACAAGTAACAAAAAACACTCAGGAGATTAGACAAGGCATAGGACAGTTGTCTACTAGTTCTTTGGCTCTTAAACTATAGATCTCCAGATGTGTAGAACTTCAGATCCCAGAATCCTTGTACATTGATCATACTGACTGAGACTCCTGATAGTGGAAGTTCAAAAGGCCTGTAAGATCAATGTTTCAGAACCACTGGTCTAGGGGCCACATGGAGAGACCCACTATGTCCATAGACTACTTCTTCCACACTTACATGTTAGAGCAGGAGTGAGCAATTTTTTTTCTGTCAAGGACCACTCTCTTGGAGAAGGGCAACATGCTGTGTCGAAATTAAGCAGCCCCATTTCTCTTTTGATTTCTGCCACTCTTCTATCCCTTTAGCTTTCTGTTTCTTAGCTAATTGGCAATGAGGTGGTTCTGAAGAAAGGTCTTTAATGGTGCATGTGTGGTGTGTTGTTCTTAATTTTTCACATCATGGTTCATAAAATTTTTGTATTATTTTAAAATGGAATTTTGTTCCATTGTGTTTTAATATTTTTACTAATTATTCTTAATTTATATATCTATGAGGAAGCAAAATGAAGATATTATTCCCCCAATAAGAGTTATGCCCCTAGATTAATTTTTTCTTCAAGTCCCAAATTTTAGCAGTAATGTAAAACTTCAATTGAGCAGGTAAATTGAAGAAGGAAATGCAAACCCAGCTAAGAAGATAGTTCTAGGCGTGGATTATTTTCAGTGCCTCACTCTCTGCAATTTAACAGAAATTTCATTTAGGGTACTTATTTTAGGTGGAGAAAGCCCTCATCTTGCCCCCTTTTCCATGTAGCCACACCCTTCATGTACTTTGTTTTAAACCACATGTGAACTGCTTTGGTTCCCATTCAAAAGAAAGGTGGGGGGCATAAATTAGAGAAATATATAAATACATTTGAGCCACAAATAGAACTTCACAATAAATAAAATAAGTATGTGTCCAGAATGCTTTTGGTACTAAATGTTTACCCTATTTCTTCTTTTCTTTTTAATCTTTGTTTCTAGGTTATTTAAAGCATAAAACATTTGAAGACAACAAAGTTTTGTTTCTATCAGAAGAGTCCTTAAAGAGACACCAGCAAATCTAACCATGTGACTGGAAATAATGGTGTATTAGATGGTTAGTATATTAGCATGTCTCCTAGCGTAAAACATATTTATTTATTTCGCCATAAATAAAATGTCTTCGTATACTTTAGAAAATGTTCTAGTGTACTCTAGTACAGTCTTTTGGAACATTAAAATGACTAAGCTGTAAGCATTCTTACCATATTTAGAATGGAGGAGTATTCTGAGATAAAATGTTTTATTCTGCATCCCTGCTGCAAGTTTCATCAACCTGTTACTAATATGCCTTCCTATAAAAGACAAATATTTATACTGGCAATGTTACCTCAGTTTAAAGCTCTTGGTTTATAAATAGCAGAGCTTTCAGAACTTAATTAATTTAAAGCTTTTAAGTGAAGATGATGTTCAGAGGCAACTTAAAGCAAAAAGTATTTAACAGCCTATTTTGGATTCAGTATCTTTGCTCACATACCTGTGCGGTTGAGCATCACTGTATCCCAGTAGTCCTAGGGACAATCCTGAAATCATCACAGCTACTAGCAGACCCTAATTTGGAATATTTTCTTTTTCTACTCACATTTCATGTTCAATGTAGACTCCCTGGAATCAGTAACAGTACACTGCTATAACCCGCCTCCAGCTGTAAGGAAAGGTGGGCAAGAAATAAAACTATTATTATTATTATTATTATTATTATTATTATTATTATTATTGCTGTTGTTTGCCTTCAAGTTGATGCTGAAGTAAGGTGACCCTATCCTATAAGTTTCTTGGTAAGATTCATTCAGAAGTGGTTTGCCATTGCATTCCGGACCCTCGTCTTGGTCATGCTACTGTCAGAAATGCGGTTGCTGGGGATGAGGGAGAGGGCCTTCTCTGTGGTGGCCCCTTGGCTTTGGAATAACTCCCCGGGGAGATTAGGCAGGCCCCCACACTGTCCTCCTTCCGTAGGAAGACCTGGCTGTTCAAGCAAGCTTTTGAGAACTCCTAGTTCCTAGTTGTTCTGCGCAATAGTTATGCACCCTGGCACTTCACTCCTCTTTCAATGGTTACAGCTCTGCACTTATCCCATTCACTTGTCCTATTGTTTACAGCCTGGCCACATTTACAGCAGCTTACTGCCATTCGTTATTGAGCACAGTTTTATTGAGTCTTAAGTTGTTGTTTTATATGCCTACAGTATGTGTTTTACCCTACTGTATTTCATATTGTGTTTTATTTTGTGCTCTGTTTTTAGACACCTTGTGCCGTATGTAAGTGGCCCTGAGTCCCTTTGGGGAGATGGTGGTAGGATACAAGAATATAGTTATTATTATTGAATTTATTAACTGAGAATCTAACTTGTCCAAAGTCACACAATAGGTGTCCATGGCTAAGCATAAATCCATGCCCAGAGCCCTAGTCCAACCCACAAAGCACTATATCATGTTGTCTGTACCAGTACACTGTTTGGTGACATTGTAGTTGGCCTTGTATTGCCTTAATACAGATTAAAAAAAATAAGTTTCACCTTTCAGTGAAACAAACCATTAGCAGCATGGGTAGCTTCTGTTCAGCCATGGAAAATCTCCCTTGGGGAGATGAAGGTGAGATACAAGAATAAAGTTATTTTTGTTGTTGTTGTTGTTACACGTGCGTGAACACACACACACTTTAAAATGCTTATTTAGAGCCAGTGCGGTATAGTGATTTAAGTAATGTCAAATTTTGCCTGCTAGTTGTTTATATCAGTAGCTGACATGATGGATTCAATTCCACTGATGCATGTAATGAGTGACTTTGGGGTATGGTGCTTATAGTTAGGTTTCCTAACAATACTGCAATTGATTTTGGTGCCAATAACGAGACATGTCAAACCAAGTTATGAAAATGATTCTGTGTCCCAAAGTAACTCTATATATTTTTCAGTATGCTTACTAGGAAAATCCCAAACATATTGAAGAATATATATAAGTATATTGATAGATAAAAAGACATAGCCATTCATCATGACTAATTATGGAATAGGAAACTAACTCTCAAGAAATTCATTTGCACCATAGTCCCCAAAAAAGTAGCATCGTGATGGTGAAGGATACAAGAAGAGGGCCTGCTGTCAATATTCATCCTATCCTGCCAAGTGGTTCTCTATTACTACAGTAAGACTCAGATAATTTGTACGGCAATGCAAAATTAGAACAAGGTTAGCCCTAGAGGCTGAGTTTTAAGCAAGGAGGATCCATGACATAGCACACCATTGCTGCTGATAACAGGGAACAGCTATTGAAGCATTAGCCTTAATGTCCAGTTTCATAGCTCTGTGGTGGTGGCTTTGCTTGTCATCAGTTTTTTGGGTTGGATTTTCTATTTAACAGATACCAAGCTGAAGTTAGGGGCCCTTCATCTCTTATACTATGTGTCTAGGAGTAATTGCAGCCCTTGAGTGTGGTACTTTGCTCAGCAGCTGTTTTAAGATCAGATTCTCAGAAAACAGTTGCATTGAGCATGGTTGTTGGATCAGCATATCAGTGGAAAGCTAGGTTGGAAGAAAATCCATCAATCAAATAAATTATATTTGGTTTTGCACCCAGTTTTTATGTAATATTTGACTAGTTGAGCCCCCGTTGGCACAGCGGGTTAAACCGCTGAGCTGTTGAACTCGCTGACTGAAAGGTTGGTAGTTCAAATCCAGGGAGCAGGGTGAGCTCCCACTGTTAGCCTCAGCTTCTGCCAAACTAGCAGTTCAAAAACATGTAAAATGTGAGTAGATCAACAGTTACCATTTTGGCAGGAAGGTAACAGTGCTCCATACAGTCATGCCGCCCACATGACCTTGGAGACGTCTACAGACAACGTCAGCTCCTCAACTTAGAAATGAGCACCACTCCCCAGAGTCGGACACAACTAGACTTAATGTCAAGGGAAATCTTTACCCTTTTTTTTTTACTAGTTTCAGGGATACATTGGTAATAAAGTGGAACTGAACCGATCAGTGTCCACATGGTTGATGTACTCAGCAGAGACATGGCTTCCATAAAGAAAGAAAGAAATAACTACATACCTGTAAGCCTTAGGGTTTGGTCTTCTAATCACAAATCATTCACTGAAGGCTGCATATGTATATAGTAAGCAGATTTCTTGCTTCCTGACATAATTTACTTCCCAATTCCCTTTCTGCTGGTTTGAAGGCACTTGTTTCCAGGAATTAATTTGGCCCATGTTTGGGAAATGAATGTATACTATTCAGAGCTAACTGGAGTCAAGGTGAGGTAAAAATAAAATAAGAACAAGAAAGGAGTGTGTATAGACTAAAAGGTTCTGTTTGGCAGCAGTTTTCATGGGCTGCAGCCTACATAATGACATGTGATACGATCCAAGCAGGCTGGAATCCACAAAGGCATATATGTACAAGTCTTTAACAAGTTAGTCTTTAGGTGCAGCCATTGTAACAAAAGCAACAACAATGCAACTACTCACTCAAAATGAAAACAATAACTCTAGGCCTTTTATAGACCACCTGAACTGTGTTTCCGATTTTGCTTCAATTTACATTGGAATTTACTAATATGAGATATAAATCCTGTGTCCTCAGATAGACACTACATCAGTTTCTGATCAGATATTCTTAGCTTAGCCATATATTAGTCACATCCAAAGTTTCTTTAAGGTATTGATAGTCAATTTCTGAATTCCTGTAAAGTATACAAATATACTGTGTATTTTCAATGAAACCAGGAAGGAAAATAACTTACAGGAAAATGTCTTGTGGGCAAAATAAATTTCTCTTCCAAGAATCTGTTGGTCATATAAATCAAATTACTGCACCTGCTTGGATAAGAATGGTTTCTTTGTTGTGGTGACTCTTTACTGTTATTTTATAAATATTGAGTAGGAGAGAAATCCTTTATATAAATATTATGTAGTCTGTAAAAAAAATACCCACTAGCATTAGATGAATGTTTACTAGATGAAATATTTTAAGATACAAGGGACGCTTCCATGAAATTCCATTTTATTACCATGTTGAACTCTGCATTTTCCAAGCCAGTGCATGGATAAGGGATATTGTCCTCTAGTTGAGGATGAGTTTGTTTTACCTTAGATGTAATTCTATTAAGTAAAAAATTCCTGTTTTTCAATAAAACAATTCCTTGTGTAAGTACAGTATAGGATTAAATAACACTTTTACTGACCTATGCTAATTCAAATATATGGGTAATGCATGGCTGGCACATGGGGAGTTCCATTTGACAGAGTAAAGAGGGTTTGAAGATTATCTGTCTAAACTGGAAAATTGTGAAGTGAAAGTTGTAGAGTTAAAGCCAATTTAATAGTGTAGAAATTCATAATTTAAGATCATTTCAACCTAATGATGATAGCTACTTTTATTCATAATATTCCTGGTTCAATAAACTATATTTTGTTGGAATGAGATTTTTTTGTTGTTGTGTCAGGAGCAACTTGAGAAACTGCAAGTTGCTTCTGGTGTAAGAGAATTGGCTGTCTGCAAGGACGTTGCCCAGATGTTTTTAATAATAATAATAATAATAATAATAATAATAATAATAATACTTTATTTGTACCCCGCTACCATCTCCCCAAGGGACTTGGTGCAGCTTACATGAGGCCGAGCCCTAACACAACAATACAAGCAATAATCACAACAATACAAGCAATTAAAATAAAACATAAAAATATAACATGGTATTACCATCCTTGTGGGAGGCTTCTCTCATGTCCCTGCATGAGGAGCTGGAGCTGATAGAGGGAGCTCATCCACACTCTCCCTGGATTCGAACCTGCGACCTGTCGGTCTTCAGTCCTGCCAGCACAGGGGTTTAACCCAATGCGCCAACCAGGGCTCCGTGTAATGAGATTGAACAATATGCTTGAATGCTCTCTTTCCACTTTCCTCCAAACATTTCGTGACCTACTGTAGAGAAAACTTCTTAAGTTAAATCATAATTTCTCAGTCATGGCCAAATCAGGAAAATGTAGTCTTTACGTATTCTCTGTAAATTAGTATGACATCCTAGTAGGCCAGTGGTCCTTAACCTGTGGGTCCCCAGATATTTTGGCCTTCCAGAAATCCTAAGAGCTGGTAAACTGATTGGGATTTCTGGGAGATGTAGGCCAAAACACGTGGAGACCCACGTGTTGAGAACTACTGTAGTAGACAGTCTTGTTTTGGACTATATATATATATATATATATATATATATCAGACTTTCCTGCTTCAAACAGTTAAAAAAAATCTAGGAGGTGCTTGTAGAATTTATTTATTTATTTACTTACTTACTTCACTTGTATACCGCCATTCTCAGCCCTAAGGCGACTCATAGCGGTTTACAACAGTCGAGCACAAACAAAGCGAACAATCAATGCAAAAATTCAAGGCAGTCAACAGGTAATTAAAAACAATTAACACAGAAACAAGTTAAGCAATTAACAATAATAGACAATCAATCAATTGGCGTCTCATAACTAGAATCATGATCCAAACTCATCAGTCGTAGTTCCATTTCCTAAAATTCATTGCACTTTTTATTCAAACGTCTGTTCGAATAACCAAGTCTTCACTCTTCTCCGGAATACCATCAATGAGGGAGCCAATCTGATGTCCGTGGGCAGGGCGTTCCACAGCCGAGGGGCCACCACCGAGAAGGCCCTGTC